TCCATACCATAAATAAACTAGTGATTCAAACTATGAGATTAGGTAGGGTCAACAACAAAAACCCAATTTTTGCACTACCCGCTTGATCTGCATTGACTAACCAACTTATTGTGAATGCGACAAAAGATCCCACAAAGTCATCATTTGCTTGATTATATTAGTCAAGTTAGTTATTAAATTCATTCCCAATTGTCACTGTTTTTAGGAAAGTTTCAAGTGTCCCATTGACTCTGATTTTTGCTTCGTTTGGTATTTTGCCTGGATGAATGAGACCAAGTCTGACAATGCAGATTTCAATTTTCTCACAGGCTGTCATTTATTGTTTTTTATTCTCACAACTAATGACGAATGTCTGAGGCTGACTAAGGCGAAATAAAAGGCTGCAACAAAATAACTCACATTAAGGGGCAAAGTCTTGTTTTTCACCCAATGCCTAAATCGATTGATTGGAAAGGCTTCAACAAGGTTGGATCCATTCAAAGCCTTTAGAGCAGCCACCAACTCCAAATTGGTTTTGAGGGGAAACTCTTGACCCACAATATTGACAAGGTAATGCCATGTGGGATCCCTTTGGAGTGCCTGTTTAGCACAAATGAACTGGGGCCGCAGAACCGATTCATCGCCCCAGTGTACTGCAATTCGTTTGTCTTTTGGCACTAATTCCACATTTGAGCCAAAACACGTGGCAACACCACGCATTGCCGCCTGAAAGTGGGGCGAAGAACGTGCATCGAGGTGGATGCAATAGTAATTGTTCACTCGATAGATCATGCGTAATAGACGAGCAATCTGAAGCACATCTTTATGCACCACCATTGTGAAGGCCACATTCATATCTCCATCAGGTTGAGTGATCATTACAAATTTTTGACGAAAAGAAATGCAGTTGGGATGCTCTGATGACGTGATGGAGGAGAAAAATAGAGGCTCACTCACATTCATAACGTCCTTCAACTGCCTAACCGAGGGAAGTTGTGTGTCTTTAGCCTCCAGTTGGCTAAATGACCACGTTTGGAGGAATAGAAGTGCTAAACCGGAAACAATAATGACTGCTACACCAATCCCTTTGATTGTAACTCTCGAGGTGCAAAACATGTACCTACAATTTACACCATTAACATCAAAAAGACAGGCAAAGTGAGCCCATCAAATTGCCATTTGTCTATGAGGCGAGACAATGTGCATATCCGCTTCAAGTGGCACGATTTTACAGTTCACACTTTGAAACCCTCCTTCATTTCTAGTTCAGTGCGGTGAGAAGTGCCTAGGTGATGCTGAAGTATGCAGGAAAAAGTTCACTTGAAAAGGCCGACCCTAGTGAGAAGTCAGTCACTTGTTTAGGGAATTCCACATGTTACAAATCTATGCTTCTTCATCTACGGCAAAAAAATGAAGCCTGCGATCCATGAAGGCGAAGAATGTGATTCTACTGCCGTCTTCTTTCTCGGTGTAGAAGTTGAGAGTGGTGAGTAAAATTTGCCCACCAGGAAAGGTCTCTTTTGATTGCTCCCAGGAGAGAGATGTTTGAATCGAAATTAGCGGCTACAGTCTCTCACTACAGCAAAATTTATCCTAATTTGCGGTATCCAGTGCGTCCGTCACAGATGTGGCTAAAAGATGGGCAATCTCTCGCTCCACTTTTATCATAACGTAAGAAGAGTAGAATCTATAATGCCTTCCACTCGACTCGTCTGAAGCTTCAACGTAGGAACGAAAATTGCATACAGGATGGTGAGGATCTCCTTCACTTCAAAAGCCTCGGGTTCGGGTTAATTTTCCTGCCTTGCGCTTACAAGGGCTAATTTAAACAACGACCATGTATTCTCAGTTTCTCTAACGACAGGTGGGAGGTGAGTATTTTGTCTCAAATATCGTGCTCAAGACGTCTACAAAGGCGACATTTTCGTCACACAAATACGCAGTATAGTAGTTGGACTGTGGTAAAATGAAATTCTCCACCAGAAAAGGCCTCTACTAATTGACCCTGAGGAGGTCAACGAGCACCTGCAGCATAGCATACAAGTAAACAAAATGACATTTTCTCAAGACCCAGTGCCTGTCACACACTCTATACACCCCCACACATTACGAATATTTAATGTAAAAAAATTTAATAGTCTTGTTTACAAAAAAAGAATTTGTGGTAGTATGGTGTGCACTTCAACTGCTCTTCAAAAGTAGCTCGCCAAGGCGATGACAAAGATTTTAATGCAAGCAAAATGTCTTCCTGTCCTACCATAGTGACACCAAGATTTCCATTCACCCACAAAAGCATTTTCCTTTCCAACTCCGAGACCTGCAATGACAATTATGCTGTAGCATCGGCATTACGCTAAATTAATAGATGCATTTTTACATCAAGGGTGGACTCAAATGCTTTGGGAAAGGAAGGGGGAAATTTCGATTTTGCTTTAAAACCGGATCATTTAGCTAAGTGTGTAGCAAATGTTCACTTAAAAAAAGAAAATATTTAACAAAAAATGATCTAAATAAGCTAGAAATTAAGGATAAGTCACACTCACTTTTGTTGGAGTGGGATGAAATGATAAAATTGATAAAATGTTGCTACTGATAATGATGCGCTAAAGCACCCGTTTTGTGCTCAACACGTAGCGCTGATTGGTGGATATTGGAGAGGCAATTGCGGTAGGCACACCACTTCCACAGCACACCAATCGGCATCCTCATCGCCGTCCTCATTGAGATCAGTAGATGCACAAGGTTGTGATGCCTCGGCTTTTGATTGGGGAGATGAGCACTCCAATCGAGTGTTCTGTCACGCTTGCAGTGCATTATGTGTGGAGGTAGTTCATGAGTAGGGTGAATGTCTGTGAAATGGAGCACTGTGGAGAATAAGTTGCACGAGTTTAAAGACAATTATAGTGGTGCATTCTCCGGTGACGGCTGAAGGTCGTGGGCTAAAGAGGAAGGGACGGAGAGCGTCTCGATATCTAACGTGGGTTTTGCGTGGATGTTTCCTTTTACCGCCGATTGCATCATGGCAACTGAGGCAGAGGATACAATGAAGGGGCTGCTGAAAGCGTCGGTTAATTGCGAAGAGGTATTTGCAACTTTGAACATTGATAGCCATTGTAGTCAATTATGTGGCATTACTACTTTCTGGATCATACTGAAAGTCTCAGTTCCTTTCTCGCTTAATAAATATGCATGTTCCACTGCTGTAGTTTGCCTTCTTTAAGCGATGCAACCTCTGCGTCACCAAATCCTATTCATAGTAGCAATGGTTTTAGTGTGAAACAATTTGGTAAATTCCATAAAATGAATGCATGAAACAGTTTTTTTTTCTTCAATTCCGCCTAACAACTCCTGACTTATTTGATGGTGATGATGATGATGTGATGGTTTGTCCACGCATTAATTTTCATGCTTTGGCGTCGCAACATCAGTGGAGCTGAGTAAGCAGGTGGTGGCCACAGCAGTAGTAGTGAACGTGGTGGTGGTGAAGGTGATGGTGGTAGCGGCGGTGGCCTAACTTCAGGTGTCACTTGCTGTCAATTTGTGCTTTTTCACGATTGTAACTGTGCTAGTTATTTTGTCGACTACTCCTCCACCATTATCTATACGAGAGTGGAAGTAAATTGTTTTCTATACTCACTGGTTTGCAGTTTGTAAACAGCTCCACCTTCCCTCTCACTTACCACATTTTCCACTTCCTTTTCTCGGGCAACAAAGAGGTGTCCTTAACCTCCTCACTTCACCCACGCCTCTTCTCGATCCCTTTGTCTTTCTCTCCCTCACCCTCGCTCCGTGTGTATGTCATTGTACTTTTCTGTTTATTTTTGGCTTTATTTAAGGTCATGCTAGCCGGTGTCGCACAAATAGAGATGAGGAGATTTGATTGGGTGGGTACTTGTGTGCGTTTGCGTGTGTAATTTCATCGCACCTTTTGTCCCAGACTCCAACTTCTGCATTGCTATGACCTGGTAGAAGAAACCACTCAACTGTTGATGTAGTTGAAGACCAGCTTTACTTCAAATAAAGGCGATTTGTTTTCCTGAATAGTCAGAATCTTGGCTTTCCTGTGTCATTGTGAGGAAAGGGAGCTCGGGAACAGCATCTATGCAATGTAAGCGACTTACGCTCC